AATAAAGGGAATGGGTATCACCAAATCGAATAAGCTCAAAGTCTTGACAAATATTCTCTTCTGCCGTCCCGTCACGACAGGGCCTGCTTTGTTTTAAGATCATAAAATCTAATAGTCATCTGAAATTAGTACTTCTCTTCCAAATGATATTTGTGAAGATTTTGTTAAATCTGATTTCATTTCTGTATTATTCCGTTGCATTTCAAATGGGGAAGAAGAGGAGTATAGATTTTTGTATCTTCTGAGTTTTGCCTAATTTCTGCGATCCTTGCTCTCTAATGCCACCCCTCACCCCCTAACCATAGTGATCACGGAAATTTCTTTAGTATGCTTCAATATTCTTTTGTAAGTGCTGGCCACCTAAGCATTCATCACTCCATACAGATAATTCCTGAGAGTTTGGATAGCTTTTCTTGAGGCTTCAATCTTAGTCACTCTCACTTGGGTATTTTTAAACACAAGCCTAGTAATATCTAAAATTTTGTCCTGTTCTTGACGGTAGTGAGAGAAGATAGAGAACTTAATGAAGTTGTTCACTTGGGTTTTTCTCTAGCCTTATTATGATTTCCAATTAGCTAATAGAGTTGTCTCTCCCTCTTACTTACATTTGGGAATGGATAGTAAAGACTACCTAGAAATGGTTGCATTTAACTACCTTAAATGGTTCAGGGATGGTTGATTGTTAAACATATGCATATTGTGTACTTTGGTATTTCTTCCTAGAAAGATGTATTTTGACCTTGAATGATATCTAAAAAGTTGCTGTCTCCCAAGAAAATAAAAGGACTCCTTGACTTCCCTTAGCTACTCAATAAACAAGATTATTGCTGATCTGGAGAGCAAAAACTATGATTTCTATTTCCCTCTAGAACCTGTTCACCCACCTTTCCTAACTGTTCTCTAGAAACCGTGTTTAGAAACATGCACAAATGTGCCAGCTCTTCAAAGTCACCTTCCTCTCAATTTTGCATCAAAGAGCAGGTTGAGATGGCTTCTCTGGAAAAATCTTTGGATTCAAGTCAATGTAAAATTCACACTTAAGAATGGAGAAATCCTCATAAAAACTGTAAGTAGAGAGAAAGAGACTAAAGGATATTTGCATAAACTAGATCTTAACCCTGCGATTAAAGGTGTCATCAAGGATGCCCAAAAGAAAGCTCATGCTTTTCCTCTGAGAGGAGCAGCTCAAACGGCAGTTTAACGGAATAGAACCTTGGGGAGGTAACTGTCAAACTTAGGGGGGTGGGATACAGTTGGAGCTTCAGATTTTAAGGCTCTCACATCCTGAGTAAATACAAGACTTTTCCTGGAGGATCACTAGTCATTATTCATCTCTCACTTGATATAAGCTACTTAAATTATCCTAGTGTCCCCAGGGAGCTCTGCTGGCCTGGTGGCATTCATTTAGCTCTCAAGTGACTATAAATCACTTAATTTATCTTAGCATCCTCTTGGAGCTCTTGGAGCCTAGTTGTAAGGAGTTATGCTGCCAACCCAATGGCAGATAGTTCAAAGCTACCAAGTGCTCTGAGGGAGAAAAGTGGTACATCTCCCGTGATTTACAGCCTCTACGCCAGAGGGTCAGCTATGCGTCGGTTCCAATTCTTTAGTAATGAGGTTGGGTTTGGGTTTTGTTTGTTGTGGGGTTTTTTTGTGTTTTTGGTTTTTTCCCCAAGTGAGTTTAGCGCATCCTGGCACATAGTAGACACTCAGATAATAGAAAAGGAACAAAGAAAGGAAAGGAATGAGGGGAGGAAGAGGCACTTTAGGAGGTAGGGTGAACAGGTAACTGGAAAGCACTTGGACACAGAAGAAACAAGAACTGAAATGTACATCAGCACTTAAGCAGACAGTTGAAAAGTCCAGAAAATTCTGTGGCTTAGAAATCCAGTACCTCTAGCTCACCTGAGGTTTAAAGTATCCCTGGCAGTCAAAGCAAGCAGGGCCAGCTTGCGGGTAGAAATACAGAATAGTATTCCCAATTCTTTGTTCCCCTGTAAGCCGGGGCCTGAAATGTGTTATAATCAGAGTTCTCTTCACCACTTGAGAGTAATTCCCTTGAGGGAATGAGTTGAGGTGGTTGTAAGTGAACCATCACACACACACACACACACAGAGCGCGCAAGAGAGAGCGCGCTGTGATTTAGCAAAACAAGTTGAAAAAGGTTTCTGAAGGGAATGCAAGAGAGACATGACTGGTAAAGATAGAAATAGATTGTGCTAAAGAGTTTAAAGAGAAAAGAAAGAGTTAAAAATAAAAGGAGAAGAAATAGCTTTGGAAAGTAAGAGGTGGGGGCCAAACCTTTAGGCAAGCCCCAACAGTAGAAGCTAGTGACCCTCACTCAGGTGGGCGCTGTTTATTGGCTCCCAGGTGAGCCTGGTGGCAGTCCAGCGCCACCTAGGGACGGGTGAGATCAGGTGTGTTTGCCTCCCCTGCATTCCTGAGGAGAAGGGGCTTCTTCCTGATGTAACTTCTTTTCTGGCTCCTGCCAGAGAGAGGTACTATCACTGCGGTGTAACCATTTTCGCCTTCCCTTCCCAACTTCCTAAGAAACTTAGTTTTTAATCCTCTCCTATGAGAGTGAGAGAGAGACCGAGCAGGTAGCAATTCTATTCCTTGTCAGGGTCTGAAGATAACAAGCAAGTGCTTACCAAAAATATGTTGAATGAATGAACTCCAAGCTTATTAAATGAATTCAAAGGGGTTGTTAGAGACCCTTGTTGGTGCTGGCATTATGGGAGTCAGCATTTCAATATATCTAGTGGTACCTTTTCCTCTCTACCCATCCCTACAAGAGGCCCTGGCCAAGCTGAAGAATAAAACTGCATTTTCGAGGATAAACAGTGGTAGAGGTAAAAACTTGATCTTGGGGAGAAACCTCGCGGCTTGGTGGTTGATTGCTGTCACTGACCATAGGAGCAGGGTGGGATGGGGGGGAACCTGATATTTCCCCGTGGAAAACCACTCGGCCAGTGTATGACAGCAGATACTGTGGTTGGGAGAAAAGTCACGATTAAAAATCTGCCTTCTGACTACCCTCTTGATAGATGATCTGCATTGCAGGTCATACTCCACATTTTGCCCACAAAGGAGCAACCTGGGTCTCCTAACCTTATAAAGAAGAGAGCTCATTGCTGAATTAAAATACATTTCCACTGTTCATTGCATTTGCTGCTTGTTGCTTGTTCTTATGAGTGAAACTCAGCCTGAACAAGTTAGGGAAACAGGTCTGTGTGTTACCTATCAATAAAATACATGTCGGTCAGGGGTTCCCATGCTGAGAAGAATTATTCGTCAGGTTTTTTTAAATCAGAATTTATGAATGAATTTAGGACAGAAGGGAGAGAAGAAAAGAGGGAGAGAGGAAGGAGAGGAGGACATGTGGAGAGTATAAACGTGTAGACACTGATGAAATTAGAATTAAAACGAGCAGCACTTGTTCCAAGTACACAGGCTTCTTAGCAAGAAAACAAACAGCCCAAATGCCTATCAACAAAAGAATGGATTGAGAAATTGTGAACTGTGGTCCGTTCACACAGTGGAACACTATGCAGCATTAAGGGGGAAATGACTTTTAAAAAAATACTATATACTTTTATACTTTGGGAAGGCATAGAGAGCACTGTGCTAAGTGAACTAACTCAGCCTCATAAGGACAAATACTGTTTCAGACTATTGTTGTGAAAATAGAAAAAAGTGAGCAAAACATGTACAAAAAGGGGAAGGGGAAAATGGGAGGGGGGAAAGTGAAGGAAGAAATTAATATGATAATAGAGATTAATGGGCAGATGGTGGGGTGAAGAGAGGAAATATTCAATGGAGACTTAAAAAGATGGAGTAATAATAGACATAGATCAATACTTATATAAAATACAGTATATATGAGTGACTATATAAAATACAAGATACATGAATGAAACACGATGCATATGAATGATTGTATGCAAACCAAAAATAGATGTTTAAAAATAACGTATAAAATGCTGAATAAAAGTCTTAAAAGCTAGGTTTGGGTCTCAGTGTTGCTATTTTCAGCTATTTGAACTTTAACCCCGTGGCAAAGTAGGTAACCCCTTACCCATCCACCCAATATAGCTTCAGCTATAAATTTTTAAATTCACAGTTCTAGTTCTGTAAGTGGTTCTCAGCTTTGTGGTTCGAGGCAAAGTTTTACATTGGCTCACCTCTTTATACCTCTCCCATACTCAAAGTTTCCAGGCACTCCTCCACTTCGTGTAGGACACAATCCAAGCTCTATAACATGGTGTCTTGGGTCTCCGTAGAGCAGGCAAGCCTACACAACTGCCATCTTGGTCTTTCCATTCTAACAACACCGGGAAGTTGATAATTCCCTGAATCCATCACGTCCTGCCTCAGCTCTGTGCTTTTGCTCGTGGTTCTGCTCTGAAAAAAAAAAAATTTAAAAAAAAAATTAGCTCCCGGTGTGTAGGACTATCCCAGGGATCGTTTACCCTCAGGCCACTATGATCTCCCCAGCTGCACCACCACATGTGTAACCCTCACCTCGGGCACGCCTCAACACGGCACCGACTGCAAGCTGTGCCGTCTCTCTGCTCATGAGTTTCACTCCATTGGACGGTGGTGTCCTAGTGGGCAGAAACGATGACTTTAACCTGGTCCTGGATGCCGTTTTTGCTTATTATTCCTCCTGTACAGTCGGAATTTAGTAAACGTTTATTGGCTGGAGGGGTGAATGAATAAAGGTTTCCTTTAAAAGACTGTGGCCATGTTTTTCCCATCCCTGCCTCTTACCCCTTGGCAGATGCGTGTTTATGTCCACAGATTGTCTTTTTTTTTTTTCTTTATATCTTTTGTCACTGTCACAGCGTGCTGGCTCCAATATGATAAGGCCAGTCACCTGGCCACGGAAGGACAGGAAAGTGCCATCTCCCAGAGATGGTGTGGTGTGGGGGAACCTAGGGTGTCCTCGGGATCTCAGCATGGATATTTAGAAACAATGCTTTCTATTAAAGACTTTAGGCACTACTGGGAGTTGAACCCAGGACCTCCTGTTTACTAGATAGGCACTTTAGCCAACTAAACCATAGGGCCATGCAAAACAATGCTTTCTAATTGGAACGAACCAAGGAGAACCCGGTAGGCAAGTAGGGAAGTCAACTCGGGAACGTAGTAGTCTATGCTGAGTTCTTCTTTAGGCTGGAAATGTGGATGGAAATCTTTAGTGATTGCCTCAAAAACAGTGCCAGTGGGAGGTTGGGATCAATCACATCAACCCTCTCTGCCTCTATCTATGTTGGTAGGTCTCAATTTTGGGCTACAATGTTAGGAAAACGGCAGTATTTTATTATTATTATTATTATTTTAAATTGAGGCTGTAATTCAGACTCTTACTTTCATCCCTCTTTCCATTTGGGAAAAGTCTAACACCTCACTTTCTCCATACCCTGCCCCAGTCAAGTGTTAAGTGTTCTCCTTCCAAAGTCAACCCTGTGAGAAGAAAAGTAAAAATGAGAGTTAAAGAGAAAGTCAAGAGTCCAAACCCCAAGCTCTAGAAAGGTCCATCCCTCAGTCTCACCCGCCAGCACAGAACAAGTGGAACTTCCCCGGCTGTGGAAGGCAATGTGGGGACAGCAGCAGCAGCAGCAGCAGCAGCAGCAGCAAGCCATCTAGACAATGTCCGTGGTGCCTCTGCCTCAAGCACCACCCTGACCTTGGCCTGGATATCAGCAGTGAACTACTGAGAATCACTGACCTCGGCAACTGGAGCAGTTGAGCAAGACAATAATGAGCTTTGCCTGAGAGGTCACAACCTGGAGACACTCGGGACAATTGGAAAGAAGCTTGAGAAGAGCTCAAGGTCTCTAGGCAGGCTGGGCAGAGCCAAAGAAACAGTATTTTGTGACTGTTAGTGTGACAAGAGGGGCTGGGCAGTTCCCCGCCCCCTCCCCACATAGACTTGCTATATACTCAGAACACTGGACTAATCTCCTTGACTCGTGAGGAAGAGTTTGGGTGTAAAGAGAAATGGGGATTTGGGATCCACAAAGGCACCCCAAAGAGTGGAGCTGGCAGCAGAGCAGAGCCCAGCCCATAGCTGGTCTTGAGAGCAGAAGAAATTCGCCAGCCAGCCAGGATGGGGGAAGGTGATGATGATGGGAACAAAAGGAGGCAAATGACTTAATTATCCAGTGACTGATAGAAAGGTGTTTCTGATCCATAAGCACACACCAAAAAAAAATAAAGCTAAAGCTCAAAGGACTCTGACTGGCCTGCTGGGGACAGAGAAGGTTCTGGGCAGGGTCCAGAAGCGGGAGGAAGATGGACTTAATCTCTTTTGTAACCACCTCAGGGAAAGGCATAGGCCATCCCACAATGGGGTCTCATTGCTGCACTGACACTACTCACACTTTCCCCACTGCAGGACCCTCGAGGTTCATGGAAAGGACCTTTGAAGACAAGACAAAATTGGGGAAGTACTCAGAGCAGAGAGACTGAACTCCAGAGCACAGAAATATCCATATGCCCAACCCCTCAGACGGGGCCCAACACAGCCTTTCCATTCTCTAGAGGCTATAGGAAGTGGACTCTTCCCCTGAGAAGCAAAATCTGAATGTCAAGAGGTATATTTTGGTGAGAATAATACAGGGACACATTAAAAAAACAAAAACACCACAAAGTAGAAAGTGTACAAAATGACTCGTGTTCCGCGAGCCAAGTTCTCTTCAAACTTTGAGAACAGCCTTCTACCAGAGGCCAGTTACTTCACAAGCCCAAGATAAATGAGAGAACTCAAGTCCTTATAGAAGAAAGGAGAACCAAGTGGGAGAGATGTGAGGTCATCTCCATTTTCTCATCCCAAGAGCCAACTTGGGGGGTGGGGGGAGTCCTGTATGGCCTAAGGGGAGGTATTCCAGAGTGTCTTTATGGAGCAAAGACCACACACATCCCCTAGCACTTTCACTGCCTCTCCAAGTCTGGTCTTTGGGAAAGAGAAAGGGAGAATTGTCACAGGAATCTATTTTGCCTTTCCTACTGTAGTCTTGAATTTTGTGGCTGTCTGATGCATTTTCTAGTCAGTGGGAAATGAACCAGTGATGGTCTTTATCCTTCCACAGCCAACCTTTCACCTGAGAGCTGTCTCCTGCCCCTCTACCCCCAAAGGAGCTGTTTTCTACCAATCATTCCATTTCGTCCTTTTCCTTATTCTTTAATGATGCCATGTCTTAGCAATGTGGAGGGGCTTTGGAAGGAAGAGGTTCCCTGTGGGTAAGATGATGCCTCTTTAGTTTGTTGCCTTTCCTCTGAAATGGAGGGATGTTTCTGTTTCATCTTGTGTACCACTCCAAAACCTCTCCTAAGAAACTTGTGGAACAGAGGTGGCCTTTGCCAGAGCCCCTATCCACCCTGTACAGTGGTGTGATTTACATACTCGGATCACATCAGTGAGAAGAAGATTGACCTCATATCCCCGCCTGGTCTCCACTAATTTCCATTTGACCTCGGGTACAGCATTAAAGTTTTCTGACACCTACGCTGCCTAATCTCCAGAGGTATCAGTAATTGCACTTTTATTTCTAAAACAAAAGAGATTGTCAAGCTGGAACTTCCCTTGCTCTCCAATGGGTCTGACAAGCCAGAAATTGTAAAAGGCTTTTCAGTGTCTCGTAAAGGTTTTTTTAAAAAGAAGAGTTAAACCAGGAAATGAAACTCGCTCTCTGACAAAATAAACTTGTCCATGGTGATGAAATAACAAGCCATATTTTGGGGTGTTTTTTGCTTATCTCGATCCTCTCCACTACAGGTAACAACACAGGATCAAAAGTGAGAATAAAAAAGAATTTAAAAAAAAATTTAAAAGTGAGAATGGCAAAAAAAAAAAATGGTTACTAGCCATTATTTAAATACTTCATGAATTGGCATAATCCTTATTACCTACATTTTGAATAACAAAATCATTAGTATTTGTGAGTTTCATAAGCAGCACCCCCTGGAGAAATGCTAACCTCTTGATTCATTTTGTTGATATTTTTGCTTTGTTTTTATGAGCCTCTTTAAGAAAATCTGCTTTGAAGGAGCTTTATTCTAACTGCCGTTGTAACTTCTTCAGGGTCTTCCATTAGAAAAGGTGCAGAAGGCTTCCTATCACTGTATGTACTGGACAGAATCTCTGTTCAAAGAGGACTTCTGTGTAAAGGGGTCTTCACTTCCCTGCTGGCTCTTTTCAAGCTGTAACCCTAGAAGATGCCCCCTGGGTGTCAAGCAACAGCCGCTTCCTAACAACAGCTTCACGCTCACGTTCGTTTGTGCACCTCTCTTGAAATAAGTAGATGGGAGCTGTCTGTGCAGAGGAGCAGAGTCTCGGGAAGTCTCTGGGGCCAGGAGATGCCTCTACTCGCACTGGCTTGAGACACAGGCAGCGAATTTCCAACCACTTTGTACATCTTGACTTGGAACTTCACCGTTGTCTTCAAGATGCTCTGCTCAGAGCTATGCCCACTCCTGGTGGGCACTTGTTTTGACTTTTCTCCTTAGTCCTTTGGAGGGATGGATCCCTCAGGGTCTCTTCCTCTGTCTGTTGGAGGAATACGTCTTTATTTTTTATTTTTTTATTTTTTTTGGAGCACAGCGCAGGGAAAGATGCCAATCCCCCTGGCTTCTCAGTAGCTTCTGGGGCCCAGTACACAAGATTGCAAGCCTTCTGCCATACCATCCAACTGCGCTGAGGTAGTTATTTGCCCAGCAATCATCTGACAGATGTATATCTTCCTTGGGCTTTTCCTGAAACCGCTGTTGGGGAAACTTATCTTCCCCAGGCCTAGCCCTTTCCAAGCCTGAGGTACCTCAGCTCTTATAGCAAGAGACCTCTGTGTGGACTCCTTCGTCAGCAGGTTCGGTTCCTGCCCTCCCCTGACCCCACCCCATAACACACCACGATGTATAAGACTCTAGTCTTTGCTCTTTGAGGAATGCAGTCCCAGTTGGGAAGCAAAAAGCTCTCATCTCATTCATTCAATCTGCCCAGATAGGCTTGGCAGACACCTCCTCTCTATCTTGCCACCTCCTTCTCCCCACTTTCTTTCACATTTTTCTCTTTAGTCTGAGGTATTCTTTCCTCCCACCCCCCCAAGATACGTCCTTTGCCTCTTTGTCTCTAGAAGATATCTTTACCTCAATCCACTTCTTCTCTCCCCTGTAATAAATTCAGAGTTCTTTGAAGGCCTCCCAGTATTCGGACACTGAAGTAAACAAAAAGTTAGGGAAATGCTATGCTATTTCTTCATCCCCACCACCCCGCCCCAATCCTGTCGCACCCTTCCCTGGCTTGAATTGTGAGGGTTGGAGTCAGAGAGCAAAACTCAAGAAAGAAAAACAATTTAAAGTTTTATTGTAGACAATTAATATTTTGCTCTATTCACACTCTGAAATCATTTTTTTTAAATAGGCTTAGTTTTGATAAAGCTCCTCAAAAACCTAGGGAGGAGAAAGAGAGAGGAGAAGATGAAGTGTTTTCTCATTTCTCCCCACAAAGTATATAATTCTGACCATTTACTTTTCTGGAATAAGTTCCTCTCTCCACCTAAGACAGATCTCAGCTCTTTCAATGTCAAGTGCTGAATCAGAGAAGGGAGAGAGGTGCCCAAGGGGAGGACCCAGAAGATGCTTCTCTTCTGGGCATCCCTCTTCCCACTGGCATCTACCAACCCTGCCCCTTTCCTCTTTACCTCAATAAGAAGGCAGGCTCACATCACTACTGGGGAGGCCTTTCCCTAAAACCCTCACCACTCACTCACCTGGGGTGTTCCTATGTCTCTAGACAGATAGAGAAAACTCCCTCTCCAAACACTACCTCAAAGCAGATCGTCAGATCCATTATTCTGTGTAGACACAAAGTGTTTCCAGAATGAAGAGTTTCTACAAATTGGGAAGAACATCGATCTTCTATGCTCCACTAACAAAATGGCAGTGCAGGTTCAAGACAAGAAAAAGAATCACTAAAGAAAGGAAATCCAAATTCAAGTTCTGTGAGAGATGACAAAGCTCTTTCAGAAATTTTCTGTAAGTTGACAGGACTTCAATTTCAAGGCCCATTC